GGACACTAAGAAGGGATTTTTCTAAATTCTCCCGCGGGGGGAGAGGGAGAGGATTAAGCTTAACCGGAAGAATGGCTTCTACTGTACTATTTTAGATGCGATTTTTTGTTTTCAACTACGTTTAGTCTTCATTGAGTACTTAGGTGTATTAAATTGATAACATTTTAGACATTGTTATAAATATTTTTATCTATTTCGATTTTAAAAATGTTCGAACCGTTTTAAATTCGAATTTGTTATTGCATATTGGTTCGATTATAAAACGATTGTAAACGCTTTAGAAAATTGATCAAATTGAAAATAGTTCGTTTGATTCTCGGCAATTCTCTTCAGCGGTAGGTGTTATATAGACCTAACAATTACTATGGTTATTGAAATATTGAATGTAAATGGGGTTTGCTTGCAAAACCTCCGCGGACGAAGTCGCGGGTGACAGCTAGTTATTATATAATTAAACTAGCTGTTACCCGTGGCTTAGGATTTTGCAATTTGATAGAAATAGCCTTCTCTCGGTACTTCACTAAGTAAGATTCTCAATCATTAGTTGTTGCTAATTTGGTAAAATTACTGATTTTTGTTTCAAACTATCGACTGCTAATGCATCTAAATTTAAGTTTCAAATGTTATGGGCTCCCGAGATACGATAAATCTGAATTTAATTTTTTTCGAAACATAAATGACGTTATAGGTAAATATATAAAAAACATAAATAAATAAATTTATAAATACAGAAAAATAGAGTTTCAGTTACTCCAGAACCTCTTTGTAAACCACGTTTGCGGTACAGCCTTTCGGGGCTAAGATGACCAGACTATTCGCAGAGCTTACTCTGGAACATGCGACATAGAACTGTCCATGAGAAAAACAGTCTTCACTCAAGTCGATGCCGGTCATTTTCAGTGACTGTCCTTGTGATTTATTAATAGTCATGGCAAAACACACCTTGAGAGGGAACTGTGTTCTCTTAAATTCGAACGGATATTTTGATGGTATTAATGGTATTCTTGGGATAAAAACTATCTCTCCCCGAGCACATCCAGTGATCACCGTAGCTTCTACAACGTTCTTATGCAAAGCATTTACTTGTAGTTTAGTACCATTGCATAATTTTGGTGGATTAAGATTTCTTAATAACATTACAGGTGCTCCGATTTTAAGAATGAGTTTATGTGATGGCAGACCAGGAGGATTCAGATTATTAAGAAATTCTGTCGGATAGTGGACTGCGTCGTCCGTTTGGATCACTGAATCAAAAGACCTGTATTCAAGACCTTGAGCTTCGAAGGCCTTTAATAGAATATCATTAATTGCGGCTGCTTTATCGTTTCTCGGAGTTAAGATAGCACGCTCGCACAACCATTCTGTGGGCTTTTCTTTTTTGATGTTACAGTAAAACCTCGATTATCCGACTCAATTGGAGACTGGGGTTGGTCGGATAATTGAAAAGTCGGATAACCGAAAAGTCAAATAACCGAAAAGTATGAAAAAATCCATTATTAGTGTAGTATATTATTATATCCCATGTAATTAGTATATTAGTATATCGCTATTAACCTACTTCGCGTTGAATTTTCATCGATGTTAAGCCTAACAAAAATTTTTTAAAATAATAATCGTCGCTATTGTATCGTTAAAAATTAGAAAATTAAGCCTCGTTTAAATACTGGCTCCCTTTCATGGTCGAATGAGTGTTGCCAGCTAAAACACGTAAAAATAACATTAAAGTAGCCAAGACATAGCCAAATATTGTAGCGCCACGTCACTAGCGGACATTTGAAATTTGCCGACTAGGACGGTCTGTTAATCAGGGGTCGGATAATCGAGGCTCTACTGTACTTATATCAGGATATATTTTAAAAGTTAGCTCTGATAAGGAGGTAACTACTGTACCCAAATCTGAAGGGATTATGATTTTACCTTCCAGTGAAGGGTAATTTCCATCGCCTATTTTTAGTAGCACTTCAGCGAAAAGCCCAGCGGATGTATCACCACTTAAATGGACTCTCATATTGTATTGGAGTGCAAGTTTCCGGATATGTGGCCACAAATATGAAGTCTTTAAGCATGCTTTTACTTCATCTGCCCGTGTACCCCTAGGTATGACGGGTAACGTTTGCCGAAAATCTCCAGCTAACAGCACAGTGACCCCTCCCATCAAGCTATTGTTTTCTCTTATGTCTTGTAATGTTCTACTGAGAGCTTCGAATCCACTCTTATGGGCCATTGTGCATTCATCCCAAACTATTAGTTTACAGTCCTTCAAAACTTGCGCCATGTTACTCTGTTTTGAAATATTACAGATAGGTGTCTCTACTTGCATCAAGTTCAAGGGCAGTTTGAACGCAGAGTGAGCCGTTCTACCTGCTTCCAGCAACGNAGTATATTATTATATCCCATGTAATTAGTATATTAGTATATCGCTATTAACCTACTTCGCGTTGAATTTTCATCGATGTTAAGCCTAACAAAAATTTTTTAAAATAATAATCGTCGCTATTGTATCGTTAAAAATTAGAAAATTAAGCCTCGTTTAAATACTGGCTCCCTTTCATGGTCGAATGAGTGTTGCCAGCTAAAACACGTAAAAATAACATTAAAGTAGCCAAGACATAGCCAAATATTGTAGCGCCACGTCACTAGCGGACATTTGAAATTTGCCGACTAGGACGGTCTGTTAATCAGGGGTCGGATAATCGAGGCTCTACTGTACTTATATCAGGATATATTTTAAAAGTTAGCTCTGATAAGGAGGTAACTACTGTACCCAAATCTGAAGGGATTATGATTTTACCTTCCAGTGAAGGGTAATTTCCATCGCCTATTTTTAGTAGCACTTCAGCGAAAAGCCCAGCGGATGTATCACCACTTAAATGGACTCTCATATTGTATTGGAGTGCAAGTTTCCGGATATGTGGCCACAAATATGAAGTCTTTAAGCATGCTTTTACTTCATCTGCCCGTGTACCCCTAGGTATGACGGGTAACGTTTGCCGAAAATCTCCAGCTAACAGCACAGTGACCCCTCCCGTCAAGCTATTGTTTTCTCTTATGTCTTTTAATGTTCTACTGAGAGCTTCGAATCCGCTCTTATGGGCCATTGTGCATTCATCCCAAACTATTAGTTTACAGTCCTACAAAACTTGCGCCATGTTACTCTGTTTTGAAATATTACAGATAGGTATCTCTACTTGCATCAAGTTCAAGGGCAGTTTGAACGCAGAGTGAGCCGTTCTACCTGCTTCCAGCAACGTTGCAGCAATGCCTGAAGAAGCAACAGCCAATGCTATCTGGCAATCTTTTCGCACTCTAGCCAATAAAAGACTCAGAACAAATGTCTTACCGGTGCCGCCAGGAGCGTCTAAGAAAAATGTTTGACCAGTGCTTTTTTCGATGCTTTCTAAAATTTGGCTATAAACGTGAGACTGTTCATCGTTTAACAAATTTTCATTAGTAGTTACAATCTGTGCTAAAATATTTGAGTCATAGCTCATCTCTCGGAGATAGTCTGTATTTTGTAACACTTCATTATATCTTGATGGCTGAGGTAAACCATACTGTTGTAAGCATTGGCCTCCTAAAGACAACATTGTATCTTCAAGACACACCAAGCATTTATTGTATACTTCATTTAAAATTAGATGAACATCTCTATGTTGTAACTCTAACTCGACTTGGTGCCGTATATCTTCCGAAAGGGTATCTTTATATTTCTCCCAAAGATTTGAAGCATCTGACAATTGACAAAACATCAACATTACTGCAAAAAGTTCGCGTAATCTAAACGGAGAATCACAAAGCGCAGCTTCAACCATAGCTGCATCCCAGAGCCTTTCATCTTCTAGCAAGCCTAGAACCTTACATGCAGACTGGTATGTGAGTTGAATCGTACCATTAACCGTTTTCAATTCTATGAAAGGTGTAGGGCCTCGGATTTCATGTAGTAAAAGACGAAGATAATAACACTCAGTATTATTAGGGTGGATGGTATATACCCTGCCTAAAGTCTGATCTTTTTTTACTCCCGGCCAGCCATCGACGTCATTACCACGTTTTCTTCTCTCAAATCTGTTATTTTTCCATACATATATAGAAAGAGGGAACGTCAACATAAAGAAGTGTTTTTGCAAAATTATCGGTTTTGCATAAGTAAAAAAAATGCTGTAAGCGTAGTTTTTACTGGATTGTTAACAATATTTGTTAAGTGATTGACGTCATTTGGGTTAAAATAGACTCGCTGGCCATTTTCCAAATGCACAGTGAGATGAAAAACTGGAGGGAACCTGTTACGGCTAACGGGAATCTTAGCCAGGTACAAGTTCAAAGTGGCGAGTCCGTACCCCAAGGTTCAAATCTATTCTGGGGTATACGTTGGTTCTTCTTGTTTCTCGCACTCGCCGACGTCCTAACAACAAGTGACCAAATCACAAAGTGTCTGACCCTGCAGTTCCTCTCGTACTGCACAGGATTACTCTCGCAACGACTTCCGTTGCCGCGGCTAGGGGTCTTCTGTCTTAGGGGCGTTTAGTCATAATCCCACGAACAATAGCTTCGCGCTACTGGCCACTCGACCAAGCACATGTACAAAGTGTCCGTTACAGAACCTCTCATGGATGGGTAAAGCCAGAATTCTCCATACAGCTTCGGAGCTGCTGATGTATCGCCCACTTTCATAGAGTTCAACTTCATTTCCCCTTATTTAGGTATCTCAAAAGACCAAAATTCAGTTTCGTCACAGAATAAGTAATGAAAAATTCCGTGTTGCCACCTTATTAAAATCGCTGACCCGGACGGCAGGTGAGGTTTGTTCGAATAGAAGTTCCTGACGCATGCGTATGTCATTTTGCAATGCGAAGAATAATGTGCAGTGCATGCCGGTTCTAAATCAGTTACAGTTAGCGACTAGGGAGACTTGGNAGGTGAGGTTTGTTCGAACAGAAGTTCCTGACGTATGCGTATGTCATTTTGCAATGCGAAGAATAATTTGCAGTGCATGCTGGTTCTAAATCAGTTACAGTTAGCGACTAGGGAGACTTGGATAGGAGTAACGCAAGTGACCTAGCTCTATTGGATATTGGAGGTGTATATATATACGAATAAATCGTACAAGCAAAAAGAAAAAAAAAGGTCAACAGGTTGCGCACGACATCCCCTGACTGTCCGGATGGTATTCCGTGCTCATTTCAATCGGTCCGAATCGTAGGTGCACGAAAATATGAAATAAAATGGTTCAAATTCTTACAAGATATCATTATTATTTATTGTGAAATTTTGCCGCCCTCTAAAACGTAATTTTGCCGCCCCCATTACGCTACGCTACTGCTCAGAACTCTCCTTTAGAAAAAGAGAAAAAAGAACATAAGGCTTAATGGACTGTTTCATCTCCAATCTGTCTACGGTGTCTGTCAGACCATTCTCTTCCGTTCTGACTTTAGTGCACAATTCGGAATTCTCACAGCTGCAGTAGCCAAACACAGATATGAAGATTAGAACATAACCTGCAGAAATATAGTTCAACGTGGTATGCAANAGGTGTATATATATACGAATAAATCGTACAAGCAAAAAGAAAAAAAAAGGCCAACAGGTTGCGCACGATATCCCCGGACAGCGAGTCGATTCCCGGACTATCCGGATGGATGGTAACACTATTCCGTGCTCATTTCAATCGGTCCGAGTCGTAGGTGGACGAAAATATGAAATAAAATGGTTCAAATTCTTACAAGATGTTATTATTATTTATTGTGAAATTTTGCCGCCCCCTAAAAAGTGCCGCCCCTGCCGCCCCCACTACGCTACGCTACTGATCGTCAGTAAAATATTAGTGAACTTTTTGTAGCCTGATTTAACAGATCTGCAATGATTTATTTGAACGTTAGCTAAGAAAAAATGCTACAGTATTCATAAGAAAGATGTTTTCTTTATGAAAAAGATTTATTGAAAATTATACATTTGCAACATTTTCATACGCACAATCTGTTATTGAATGTTTTCCTTTTGTAAGTACTGTACAGTACATTTCTGAACTGAGCGTAATCACGATCCCGTGTGACAGAGCCGCACGAGTAGAATTTATAAATTTCACGAATTTTAGACAGTACGACACAGTTAACTTTAGTTGGTTCTCAACTTATCTGTGGCTTTCCATTCGTAGAAATCTGTCAAATACTGTACATAATATTTTTAATTACTACTGAATGAGCTGTTAATATTCACGAAAACAATTATTTTAAGATATATTAATTAAATACAGCATTTTTAAAATTTCAGAAGAGAATTTACTTACCCTTCATATTTTTGAATTCCAGCTTCTCACTTTCACAGGCAAATTCATGTACAAGTCGACCCCCCTATAACACTGTTGATAATTCCGTTTTATATGAATTCCATGTTGTACAAGTCACTTAGATTTTACAAATACTTGTGCCGGGCTGTGAATGGCTCACGTATTTGTAAAATCTAAGTGACTTGTACAACATGGAATTCATATAAACGGAATAATCAACAGTGTTGTAGGGGGGTTGACTGGTACTGTACGGGTACAGTACTTTCTCCAAATGTTCACGTAATCGAAGGAAAGTAGAAAATCCTTCAGAACATGAAGTCTCACGATAGAATATAGATTTTTCCTCCACCAGGATTAGCTTATGTTCTAAACCTACATGCTTGTTAGTAAGATTTTCTTTTGAGGAGAAGCGCTTATCGCAATAACAACGAGTATTTTCTAATATATCCAACGCTGTATTTTCCATAACGATTTCTTAGCATCGTAGCGGGAATACTTCAAAACCAATTATCGATGATAAAGTACGGTTTTAAAGCTAAAATATCGACAAAAATTCCAAGCACATCGTACAACACGAGGTATACGCTATCTGAACGTCACGACACTAGCGGCATCTCGTGGTAAAAACCAGAACTACGGCTACGGAATCGTTCTGTAATTAGACGCCAGTGTGCTAAGATACGAGGGCACCACCGAACGCATAAACAAAGAAAAAAAAAGTTATTCTAATTAATAAAAAGGTTTTAAAATGCTTATTGTGCTATTGTTTTTACGAATGTCTATGTGTGTAGGTGTAGATGTGTACTTGTGTGAGTATGATAATATACCAGGGGCGTGCCGTGACATTTGATGATAGGGAAGCTGTGTTTCTATAAGAAGCCGACATCCAGGGGCAATCAGTTAATTCTTTCTTTAAATGTATTTTTAATAGATTATTTATCTGACGTACTTAATAAACAAGTTCATTATAATTACCTCTGTTATTAGATCCAATATATTCCATATGCCCTCTAAATGCCAATTCTTGCTTTGATAAAAACATATAACATCTATTTATTTA